GAGCGCGCGCGCGCGTCTATAAATCAACGCGGCAGGATAATGCATCCACGAGTGTTGAGCACTAATTTTGGCTCGTTGCGGCATCTGTCCAGGAGCTGAGGCCAGAGCAGCAGGAATAACAAAGCGGCACATCCATTGAGCACATCGAGTGGCTGTCGGTTGCAGTTTCGCTTGAATGCAATGCGAGAAATGAAGATCCCTGCGCAGAGACGCAGCGCGTAATATGAGGCAGGCTGGCTATCGCACCTGGCCGTGATTTGGAAACAAAGTTGGGCACAGCTGAGCTACTTAGAAGCATGCAGGGAACAGGTTGACGAGGCACGAAGCAGCCAAGAAACCAGCTTCATAGCGGTCAAAGCAAACTAAAACAAAAAACTAACAGCAAAAATTATAATATTAAAATTTTATTACATTAAACAACAACAACAACAACAATGGCAACAACTGAGTTGTTGTGCCTCCCTTTTTGGAGACGACACAAATCAGATCAACCGTTGCCTGAACCGTGATGAACCTGCCGCGCAGCGAGCGAGCTCTGGTACCGTTGTATGTTGTCTGCTGATGATGTTGCAACATTGCCACAGTCCACAAGCAGTAAGTGCCCCAACCATTAAACTTCCAGCTGGTGGCACGAGCTTAATGTTGTCGTTATACATTTTACAGGTTGACGACACACGAACCAGCGCGATTCACAGTTTGCAGCTTCAGCTCTCTGGGCAGGGAAGTCACTGCATGCGCTCCCTTGTCCATGTGGGGGGCGTGCATCCAAACACATATCCGTGCAACCACAGGCCATGCACGCCGCCGGCGGCGTGTTGCACTTTTGGTTTTTTTCTTTCTTGAACGCTGAACTCATTGAAAAGGGGTAAACAGGCTATATAAGTTCCCTGGAAATTTAGACCATCGACAGAAGTAGGTCGAACCCATTAGCATCAATAGCATCCACCATCAATCATCAGCAGCAGCAGAGTAGTCGATCAAGCAATTCAAACTCAAAACTATTTACACATTTGAAGACATTGAGAATCTTTGCTGAAGATTGGAAATCAGGAGTCTTTCAAAAACTCATTTCTCAGTTGCAGGGTGTCTCGCAGTCAGGCAGCCCCTAGTCGCGATACCTCTACTTGTTGCTTATATATTTACTCGCTGGTCTTCGGTTGGGGGCACAGTGCCCGACTGCAGCCTAACAGCTATTAAGTTTGCCCGCTTTGCCCATTTTGCATATGATTTTTTTTTGTGTTTTGGGGCCCTGGGGGTCAGCGTGGGGCGCAGGCACACGCGGGTTATCGTCCGGTTTATGGTGCCATCGAGGAACGCGCGTCATGTTTATAAAGAAATTCTCCGCTGCTCACATAATACGAGTAATTTTCTTTTGGCAACGTGTCGTCAATGTGCAGCCATCGATGCCTGGCGGCGACTGGGAATGGGAGCTGCTTGGGCTTGGGCAGCAAGCCTCATGTGGTTCGTTGTCTTTAATGTTTTTATAATGTGTTGCTACTTGTTGTGATGCGCAGTCTTCTTCTTCTTCTTTTTGTTGTAATCAAAGATTATTATAATTATAGAATTTATATGGGGACATATATAAAGTAAATAAATATATATAAGAGACTGTTTTAACTGGCTAATGAGTTGATATATGGAATGACTGGAACTGTGAGGAAGTTAGAAAATTGTATTTGACTTTTTTACTTGAAATATTTTTTGATACCCATTGAAAATGGGAATTTAGGGTATAATGTGGCAAATCCAAGAAAGTATTAATATGCTTGATCTGGACGACGAGCTAAGTCTATCTAGCCATGTCCTTCTGTCCGTGTGTCCGTGCGTATGTAAGTTCTTAAAAGAACTTAATTCATATTTTTGGGACTCCATTAACTAAGGTGTATTTACAAATGTTATTAGATAGGTTTATGTATAAAATCTGAATATTTGTATATTATTATAAATAAGAACTTACACTTATGAAAATAATAACAAAATTTAGTTCATATTTTATTTAATATAAAATACAATGGTTATTTGATAGTGAAAACTGATTCCTAGACCTCAATTTGATAAAAAAAATAAAACTAATTTCTAAATTTCAACTATTTTACCTGCTCCGCTCTAAACCCAGGGAGACAAGTGTTTAAAGATTGAGCTAAAGTAAAAAAACATTTCCCATTCTAACTTCCTCCTACATTTGGCAACTCAGTTATAATGTATTCCTGTTACCAATTTGCTGGAAACAATGCTCAATTTCAAATCTTCCAAGAAGCAAACGGAAATGCGATGCTGTAAAAACAAATTGGAAGTGGAAGCAGCAATAATATTGTAGGTGTTTTGTCAATTGTCTCCATTTGGCAAGGCGTGTCATTTTCACTTCCTGCTGCCTGGAAAGGAAAACGAGACACACGTCAAGCTGTGTGTATGTGTGTGTGCATTGCAGGTGCCCGTCAGGTGCTCTACTCACATTGAACTTAATAGCTAAGTAAAGTGAACTGTAATTGAAACATTAGCGAAGCCTGTCAGCCGTTTCCATAAGCGAAATGAATCGTTTCCTTTCATATTTAAATCGGAGCAGGCCTGCCAGCGTATCAAGCTAACTTTTTCAAATGCCACCACGCCCACTTAAGTGGTGGCTGAAAACCAGTAGCCACATGCAACTGGCACCGAGGGCAAACGTTGGCTGCAATCAAAATCTTCAGTCGTCGCTGCTGCCGCCGCCGTTGCCGCGTTCACACGTCCACATCATTCGCATCCACATTCACAACGTCATCATCATCGTCATAATAATAATCAACATTTTAGCTAACAACGTCAGCCTGAATCCGCAATAAACGTTTCACGTCAAAGATTGATCATTGCGGCCAGCCCAGGCTGCGGCTCAGACTCATCCATTTCGCCCAATCAGCCACACCCACAAGATGCAACACTGCAGTTAAAGGCCCTCACAGCAACGCCCCCTCCACCCTGCCTTTCCATGTATTAAAATGGCTTAAAAGTTGGGCAGAGATGGCAAGAACAATAACCAGTAGGAGCGCTTGCGTAGAGACTGCTTGCATTTGAGATACCCTATAGAGGAAGTATATTTTTATATATGCTTGATAAAGCAAATTTCTTTACGTTAATAGAGATTATAGTGAAATTGAAAATGAGCTAAGATTCCGTTATTTATTTGATAACTGCAGAGCTATGCACGCTAGCATGGCTGAATGCCTTAGACAAGCCAACATGAAATAGATAAATAAAAGTTGTTATCAAGCCTGCTCTTATTATATTCAATAAGAGATTGATTGGCACATTGATAGATTATGGACATAGAAGTTTAGATATATATAACTTAAGTACCAAATTCTAGTACCATGCATCGTAGACTCCAAGGTCAATCTGTTCATATTGCTTCATATGCATTGACTGACTGTATTAGTCTTACTCTTACTTAACCACAAGCTGTCTATTAGCTGCCTTTACGACGACTATGAGTCAAAGTTTTCCTTATGGCATATAAATTCAATATAAAATAGATATCATATAATATACCTAATAAACTCTAACTTTCATAGACATCTATCTAGATCAGCCTAGATTAAATGTATATATAAAAATAAATCAATTTTCTTACTATACTATATAAATATATGATTTATTTCACCTGGTCTCGTACACAGATCTACATATCATATATAACCAATAATATACATAAATATCTAGCACCAAATACAAGTCTATCAACCTGTGAGTATCTACAAGCTGAATGCAGTGAAAGCTGTCCAAGCTCCCACTGTTAGCTATTCAGTGCAGGGTATATAGGGTATATATCTATCTATATATAACAAAACAGTGGCTTTTGGCTTGCTGCTTCCGCTGCAACTGTGCTGCAAGGTGTGTGGCAGAAACAGTAGCTGCCACTGCTACTAAAAGCGCAACAATTGCCAATTTCGTTTGCTGCGCCCAAAAAAAAAAAAAACGCATCCAGCCCAACAGGTACGCAAAAGCCTGGCTCAATGGAGGCTGGCTGCCAATTGTTGTCTGTCTCTGTCTGTCGACCTGTGCCCGGCTGTCGCTGCACTCCATGTTGCCTTCAACTTTCTACAACTGCTGCCACATGCTGTGGATATCTATGAATGGGACGCAGCGTCCCATTCTCGAATCGACTCGACTCGAGTCGACTCAAAGGCGGTGCTACATCATCGTCGACGTTTGCGACGTCAACTTGTTGCGATTTCGATTTCCTGTGCGCAAAACTTTGACGTTTGCTGGGTCACCTTGCCAAGCAGGAGAGGCGATGCTGCAACGGGGGAGCAGTCGTAATTGCTCTGAAAAGAAATTTCCATATGATAATATTTATTCGCTGGAATATGCCCACAACTCATCGGTCTAACCGTCTAAACGTCCAGCTACGCCCGCGCTCCACGCAACACTCACTCTTCTTCTCGTTGCTGTTGTTGTCTATTTGACACTGCGCAGGCGGCGAGGATGCACTGCAAACAGTGTGTGGGTGGTCGCCAACTGCAGCTCCAACTGCAGCTCTGACTCGTCTGGCAGTCAGTTTTCGGGTTACCTTCGCCTGACGGCGGCATTCGTGTTCGCATTTTTTTTATTTCTCTTATTTCCATTTGGCCAACTGCACTGTCGCTTGTCGTTCAGCTCTTCGCTTGGCAGGCGCAGGCCTGCTTCATCGGTTTTTATTTTTCTTTATTATCTAGTTGGCATTTTAGTTGAATTGTTAGCTTAGTTTATGTGCTGATCCCAACTGCTGCTCCTTTGGCCAGAGACGTCTCTTGCCGCTCCCCTCGGCCAGCTCCTACTGAATTATGCAAGCCGGCGAGCATTGGCAATTGGAATTGCCAATCTGCATTTCTAAATGCATTGAATTGAATATGGACCGTTAGCATTACGATTGATGCACTGACTATTTGCTAACCTATCGTTATTCAAATTTTTACTGCTTTGCCGCAGTGTTGTAAAAGGCCCAGCGTAATCGATAGACGATAAAATCGATAGAATCATTTGAAGTTTTCTTTCATTTCTAATTAATCAATTGAAGAGCTTAAGGAGTTCTCTTAAAAGTCTTCTCACTTCCTAGCATATGCTACTAAAATTAGTTATTCGAGCCTAAGTAGTCTTCTACTTTCGTCTCATCATTAAGAATTAATCAACTTGCATTTGCTCATCTCCAAGTTGAATAATAATAAGAAAAGGCCAACAACTTGAGTAAGTAAGCCCGCATCTACCCCTATGGATAGCCAGCCAAGTTTTCGACTTGTAAAAACATTGATAATTAAAGAAAAGAAAATACATAATTAGGTCGACGCCTTGTGGATGCGACTGCACTGACGGCACGCGTAATGAACCTGTTCGGGAGCAGACGGCAGACGACAGACGACTGACGGCGTCGGCGTCGGCGGCACACGCAGCCAACAAAGCGACGCAAACACACACCTTGACCAGAATTTCTAATAAATTTCTTTTTTTTTTTTTTTTTTTTTTTTTTTTTTTTTTGTTTTTTTCGTTTTTATTTCTTTATTTTGTTGCAGCTTATTGTCTTAGACTCTATAGCGCATTTAGCTCTAAACCTTAACTAATGGGAGGGCAGATATGCCAATTATTCTGCACTTGTAGCTACTATCTTAATTAGTTCTAATATTGTCTAGAGGATGCAATCTCTTCAGTCTTCGCCTATTGTTGTTTATAGCCAGGTTGCTTGCGAGATGGTTAGGATGCGCTGCAAGTCTGTCCGCGTATCTTGAACTGTGTCGCCCAATGAGTTCAGCAACTGTGGGAATTGCTAAATCCCTATGTAAGACTGAGTTTCTTACAAACCAGCTGGCTCCAGTCCATCTGCGTAGTGCTTTATTCTGCAGGGTCTGAATTTTGTTCCTTGTAGTCTTCGCCGAGGAGCCCCATAGAGAGATACCATATACGAAGGTTGGGACAACTATTGCCTTGTAGATGGCGGCCTTGCTGCTGTAAGACAACTTGCTTGAAGCTCTCAGCATCCAGTCGAGGGTTTTTAGCTTGCTTTTGCATTTTGAGGTTACTTGACTTATGTGCGCTTTAAAAGTCAGCCTTCTGTCAAGAGTGATACCAAGGTACTTTACTTTTGAGGCTTTGGGAATAGTGGGCCCCAATGCAACGCTTGGGCAATCTCCTCTTCTAGTGGCGAAGGTAGTATGTACAGACTTTTGTGCATTAATGGTGATACACCACCGTTTTGCCCAGCGTCCGAAAGAGTCCAGATATTTTTGTAGTGAGTCTGAAGCTTCTTGCGCAGATACGTGACGTGATAAGATGGCGGTGTCATCTGCATAGGTCGCTATGAGTACTGCATCTGTACTTCCTATATTTGGCTCGGGAGTTGGCATATCTCCTGTGAATAAAGTATAAAGTGTTGGGCCTAGAACACTACCCTGTGGTACTCCAGCCATAATTGGTCTAGTCAAGGATACTGTTTGCCCCCTTGACACTTGGAAGGTTCTTCCAATAAGGTATGAGGATAGCAACGCGAAAAATGGGGCTGGAAGGGTGGTCCTCACTTTCTGCAGCAGTCCCAGGTGCCAAACTCGATCAAACGCCTGTTTGATGTCTAAAAAGACGGCAGAGCAGTACATCTTTTCTTCAAAGGCTCCAAGGATATGGTGCACAACTCTGTGAACCTGTTCCGGTGTTCCATGCTGTCTCCTGAAGCCAAACTGATGGTTTGGAATGGCCTCCTGGCGTCCCAGATGTGTCAGTACTCGTTCCAGAAATATTCTTTCGAATATTTTGGAGAGTACTGGCAACAGGCTAATTGGTCTGTACGACTCAATTTCTCCCACGGGTTTGCCAGGCTTAGGAATCATCACAATCACGGCGCGCTTCCAGCAGGCTGGAAAGTGCCGGATGCGGAGCATGGCGTTGTACACCATAGTTATGTAGTCTATGGTGGAGTCAGGCAGTGCTCTAAGGACTCTGCCGTTTATTAGATCATATCCAGGGGATTTTTTTGCCTTCACTCTTCTGATGTGTTCAAGAACCTCTTCTTTTGTACATCCAGTTATCTGGTCTTCAGCTGGGAGGGGCGAGAGAACGATGTCTTCTGTTGCTTCGATTTCTGAGGCCTCTGCGGTAATCACCGGCGTGAATTGGTCTTGAAGGTGGTTTGCAAAAGCCTCAGCTTGAGCTTCGTCTCCAATGTGCCAGGAACCAGAAATGCTCCGAATGGGATGACGTCGTATTGGCTGCCGTTTGAGCTTTCTTGTAAATTTCCATAATTGAAACTCTGCGTCAGTGGGCGATTCAGCTCGTACCAGCGCATCGCTGATACACCTCTTTTGAAGCAGGGCGAGAGCAGCTTTAAGATGCCTCGTGGCTTCGTTGTACATGGATTTGGCATCAGGCGTGCGTAATCTTAACCAGCGTCTCCTGGCCCATCTTTTGTGTATTAGTAGGTGTTGGGCCTCCAAGGTGAGGGGGATGTTGTACGGAGACTGTTGTCTTGTTTGGCAAGATGGTGGGGCGGCTTGGTGCGCAGCTTTGACTATTTCTTCCTGCAGTTTGTTTGCTGCGTAGTCCACGTCTTCAGGAGTGTTAAGTTCCATTTCTATGTGCAAAGAGTAATGGAGCTCGCGCCTAAAGACTCCTAAATCTGATCCTGCTGGCAGTAGTTGTTTCCTAATGGGCAAGGGCTGTGGCTGCGCGTGGATTGTGACTATTAGTGGCAGGTGGTCAGAGGATAGGTCCAAGGATTCTTCAATGGTCAATTGCCGGTCACAGATGCCTTTGTAGACAGCGAAGTCGATTGCCGAGGGCCTGTGTCCATTAATTGGGTAACGGGTGGGGGCTCCAGTCGCCAATATGCTGAATTGTAAGTTTTGAATCGCCTCAAATATGACTTCTCCGCGACGATTCGCACTATTGCTTCCCCAAAATGGGTGCCATCCATTCCAGTCGCCGCCGATGAGGGTCTTATTCAACCTTTGGCCTAGAACCTGTTCCATGTGATGATCACACAGACCAGTGTTTGGCGGAAGATAAATTGACGCAACTTCGATCGCTCCAATAGACGTAGGCAGGGTGATGGCTGAGACCTGCATTGTTGCGTTGCAAATTGGCAGTAAAGGTGTATGCGGTATTGTTGCTCGTATGAGGATTGAGGATCCACCAAAGCAGTTTGCTCCTTCACCATGAGCCTGATAGTGTTCGTATCCGAAAATTTGTGTAGTGGGGCACTCATGAGTTTCTGTTATTAACATTATATCTATGTTTTCTTGTGAGAGAAACGCAGCCAGTTCCTGAGTCTTGTTTCTCAGGCCATTGGCGTTCCAGATACCCACACGTAAAGCCATTATTTGTAGGCAAGCTTGGTTATGATGGCCATTAAACTGTTTAGCATGGTTGCTTGTTGGGATTGTACTTCTCGCATCGCTTTGAGCTCGGCATTAATTGCGTCAAACTGACGTTGTTGTTGCTGAAGCATTTCAGTGAACAAAGTGTCACTTGTGGTATTCTTATTTGACGGTCCACCTCTAGCGGCCTGTGCGTAAGAAACACCACTAATAGGCGTTGCAAAGCTCGTGGCTTGGGTAATGCTCCGGGGCCTTGTAATTTCGGAAGCAGTACTCGGACCCGTAGACGGTGTTTGTGTGGGACTCCTTTTTTGTGCTGGGGATTGCAATTTGCGCAACCGCTTGTATACTTGGCAGCCCTTATAGTTGGCTGGGTGCTGTAACTCACAGTGCACACAAGTTGGTGCCTGGTCCTTTTCGCGGGTGCAGTCTTTGGATGCGTGTTTCCCGGCGCAACGCACACATCTGGGAGCTTTGTGGCAGTAGCGTTGTGTGTGTCCAAATTCTTGACAGCGATGGCATTGTGTCAGGTCGTTGTATCTTCTTGGCAGTTCCACTGTGCAGCGTTGCCTGCAGACAACTCGAATGTCCAAAATTTCTTTGTTGTTGGGGGCCTGAGCCACGTCAACAAAAAATATATTTAGCGGTGTTTTGTCCATACGGCTCAGTGGGTTGTGCACATTTGTAATTGTGTGGCCTTTGGTTTCCAATTCCTTTTTAATTAGTGTTGTATCAGTGCTGGAGTGAAGCCCTTTGAACACGACTCTATATGGTTTGTCCTCCTTAAGCTGGTAGCAGTGGAACTCCAATTCCAGCTTAGTAAAGTGGTCTATAACTCTGCGATAGTCCTCACTGCATTGGGTTAATACACCTATGTTATTCTTCTTTGGCTTAATTACGTATGATTTAGCATCAATTACTTTATCTATTATCTGTTGAAGTAGGGCCACAGACTTGATGTTTGGACACCATATGGGGGGCGGACGAGGTTTCGGAGTAGTTTGCTGGTCGGTCAATACTGGGGCTTCTGGAGCTACAGGTGATTCGCTGTAGTCTTCATCTTCTTCTACGAGCAGTGAAAATCGATTTTCTGATATTAATGCTGCATTGCTGGTGCTTGGTTCGTCGAAGATGAGCCTTTTCTTGATGGTTTTTGGTGAATTTGGCTGTTTACGTTTCGTGTTTTTGTTGTTAGTGATGCCTTGCACGGAGGCGATATCTATTTTTGAGTTTATTGGCATGATGGAGGCTTGCCTATTTGCCATCACAACGTTAAGCTGGGCTTGCATTTCTGCATTTACCTTTACAGCTGTAGCGAGGTTATTGACATTAGATGTCATCGCGGATTGTGCTTTTGAGTGCAGGCGCACTCGCGCCAAGCGACGAAATTTCGTAAATTGCAATTAAAGCAATTGAGTTACGCGGAAGCAAGCGATAAGAAAACGCTGCGTGTGCGGTTTTTGTTGCTGTTGCGTTGAAGAATGCACCGCAAAGTTCTATTTTTAGAACTCTGCAGCAGTAGAGCTTAAGCGAAGGCTGTTCGAATTCACGTCTTTACAGGTCGAACGACTGATCGCGATGTCTAATAAATTTCTAGCTAGGGGTAACAACTTGTCACAACACACAAGACACAAGCCAGAGCTCAGGTAATGCCTAGTTTAAGTATGCGCCCAAGCACCCTCATGACTGACTGGACGCGTCTCAACTGGACTGGACCTTCCTCGTTTTGGGCTGCGGGAGTCAGTGGTGCGCGGAAATGTGCGGGACGGGGGTAGCGCAGGTCGACGGGCGACAGTCGCGCGTCGTTCTAGCTTAATATCCGCTTAGAGCGACTCGGGTTGGGCTGTTGCTGTCCCAGTTCTAGCATTCCATCATGCTCAGTTTTTTGAATAATTAGTCGCTCGTGCCAGTCAGCACGTTCCCTTTTTTGGCCTTTCGCATTCCAGTGCACTTTGCATAACATGTCCTCGCTCCTGTTGCTGCAGATGTGTGGGCAGGTTGAGTGCACTGTGCACTGAAGAGGAACAAGTGCTGTCCGAGTGGGCTGTTGCGGTCACTGATCGTGCACTCGACCGGTAAGGATCATGTTGGCATATGTTACCTTGCAAAAGGTGCAGAAGCGTGCCACAGCTTTGGTAGACTCTGGCTAGCAGCTGCTAGAATAAAACTTTAAAATGTTGCACTCTCTCTCTCTTTATTTACTCATTAGAATATGTCCAACTATCCCATTGAAGTGCCCATGCAGCCCTATGCCGGCAGGCTGCTCATCATTGAGCATCTAATTGTGCCCGATCTCAGCGACGATCAGAAGATGGCTTCCGGCAAGAAGCCCATTCCTGGACCCAAATTTGGGGACATGCCACGCCCGTCGTTCTTCGAGCCAAAAGTTATTGAGAAGACGCTGCTCAAGTACTGCACCTTAGAGGGTATTTCCAAGGACTTCAAGGAAGATCTTGTCAATGCGCTGCTCGCCGCTGTGGAGACCTACATGAAGTATCTGATGCGTACAGTCATCGAGCTGTGTGAGCATCGCTCTGGCAACAATCTGTATAACGATCCACGTTGTGTGGTGCAGCACAATATGCGCACCACAATGATGTTTCTCAACGATCGCGAGGTGGCTGATTACGGCTGCTCGGATGATGATTCCGCCTACGGGCATCGCAGGTAACTCTGGATAAGCCACATCTATAATCAATTTATTGAATTAAAATTACAGACGCTGGATGAAATTGCAACGCAACCGCCCCACCAACTCGGGCGAGAGCGAAATGCGCCTGGAGTCAACAAATAATACGGCCATGATGGCATTGGGTGCTCGAAAGCCAGGTGCACCAGGTAGTTCGTTCCTTGCCGGCGGACAGGCATCTGGCGGCGCACAGCCGCCACAACGTTCGTTTATCATACGCATCAAGCACATGAATGTCAAGGATATACTGCAGTTCATGGAGGAAGAGAAGCGCTACTACAAATCCAAGTTGCTCTACGATGCATATTTAACGTACAAGTGGTAGAGGGAGAGAGAGAGAGAGGGGCGGAGGGGCTCTGGCAGATATAGAAGTGGCTTAGACATGTCTCTGCACGCGCGTTACGATTTCAATTACAGCCATGTTCACTTTAGTTCAATGAACTTCCTTTTGAAATAAATCAGAACAAAAGCCCAAGGAAACAGGTGGTGTGTCCTTTGTTCAATCAGCTGCTGCCGCTCAGTGCTACTGCTGCTGCTGCACTTGGCATTTCAATGGAGCTCCATGAAAATTCATTTATTCCGTCCATGCACTTTGAACTTTTGTGCACTGATTGCAGACGTAGACACAGACGCAGCCGCAGACACTGAGCCGAGACGTTCGACGACAATGCCGTCGAGTACTTAAAGGAATATCCGGCCGGCCGGCACTAAGGCAGACAGGAAGCATATGCGCATGCGCTAGTCGCCAACTGTCGGTGTCGTCTCTTTGGAGGAAACGTGATCTTATCGTGCCGCTCATTATGTTAAGTGTGCTGGCAATAAAATCAAATCACAATCTACGCGTCTCCAATTGAACTTCAATTGAAGCCGTGCGCCACGTCGCCGCCCCATCCCGGTTACAGTTGGGCATGCGTGCGGTTCGTGCCGTGGCCAGCAGTTGTAGTAGCATTCATTTTCGTGTAATTGATAGCATTTCGGAATGGGTTAAAAGAATGACCATTCCATGCATACGCAATTAGAAATGCCATAGACACTGCTGTGATCAGGTCTGAAGTAGAACTGAACTTTTCATTTAAGGCCGACATTAGCATATTTGAAATTATTGTGTTCAGAAAACGTAAACGTTTTTTTACAATACTTCTTAAGTGCTCTGATATTATATCGATCGTCTTTATTTGGAAGCTAATTTAGCTATAGTGAAGATATGTCTTAGTCTTTTACTACATTTAAACTAAATTTTCTAAATAAACGTCTGAGATAATCCAAGTTATCAAAGACAAATACATAAACTTGATGCGCAATTGGATGCTATATTCATTTATATAAAAGCATGTATTTGTATAACTTGGAATTTAATAAGAATCTTCTTTAAACCAATTAGAAAAGGAAAAAGTTGGTAGATGATAGCAACTGAGGAAAGCGGGGCAGCTATAGATGATATAGTTGATAGTATATCTAATTCTTGGACTCTTTAGTACTTTAAATTAATTCTAGCAAAATATTTTCTATTACTAAATGGTTTTAGTAAACATTTCGCGGATATTGAACTATTAAAATGTAGTCTCAAAAATATGCAAAACAAACTTTAAGGTACTTCATTCCTAGCAGAATAAGCACTTTACATATTTTAAACATAAAACAGAATATTATTAACTTTTTATCATATTGACAGTAATTTAAATTCCATAGCATACTTTTAACATGTCTCATATATATTCCCTACTTAGTCTGGAACAAACTGTACTTTTAATCCCATCTAAATAGTTTTTTGTTAGATAAGCATTCATTTGATGTCTAAACAAATTTCGAGTGCGTCTACTCTTCACTTCTGACACACCTGTCAGTTATCCACCCCTAGCTGAGCCTACATGTTGCAGAGTTTGCTCCTGCATATGCTATAAGTATGGTAAGGACTCTCTCTCTATGTTAGCTCTCCCAGCTGCTTGCCCACTTATCGGGCGCTTGTGCCGTCAGGCGTAAACTTGACAGGTAGACGAGAAAAGTTCAGACCCCCTTTATGTGGAAACCACCCCAACAAAAACATGAACTATCGCCACTTGAGTGTAGATCACTTTTCCGGCCGGAAGGAGGCGATTCGATAGTATGCAAGGTGTATTTGCATAGCACAACGCCAAGCTGGGCAGGAAGGCGAATGCCGACACTCACAGACACATTGATGCACCCCAAGCCCAAGCACTCGACAACGTTCCGTTAGGGCGCAGTTCATGTGTATGTGTGTGTGTATTATGATATATGAGTGTATTTGTTTAGCAGCAACAACAAAGAGTTGCTTTTGTATATGGAAAATGTTGCACCTTTTTTGCATAAGGTCGTCGCCTGTTTAGCCCTGTTCCGATCGCTGAAGTTTCTTTATAAAGTAGCAGCTGTGCCAATACTCCGATCGCTCAACTATATAAAACTGTGAAGCACCTTTTCATATGCTCATGTGTTCATTTGTTTGCCTTGGCCCGGATAAAGCCTTACGGGAATTGTGTATTGATTGCTGCTCGTCTCCCATTTTATCTGTTGCTCGTATTTACACACTTGTGGCCAGATAAGGTGCCCATTAGCAACATGAAAACATCTTTCCTGTCGTCTATTTACATACATATGTATATATATACTCGTATCACTTTGCTTTTACAGGCATTAACGAGGCTAGCTGATGACACTTCAATTTGTCGAAAGCAATTCACACTATAAACTTGCCACACATTGCGCCACGTTTCGTGCAACGTGAAATACGAGGGGAACTTTTTTCTGTTTCCAGAAGGTGTATAACTTGTGATGGATCAAAGAAATGTGAATCATAGCTAGCTTCTATTCGACATAAATTAATATCAAATATATCTTCTTTTTTTCTGGTAAAGAATATTATGGAAATAGTGTAGAAAGTGATTTCAAATATACAAAGTATAAAATATAAATAAATAAATATATATATGAAATGAATTAATAATTGTATATAAAGTTGTAATATTTTTATACAAATATATTTTAAATATATTTTTTTCTTTCTAAGCAAAAGTATATAAAATACTTTATGTATAATATAAAAAATCCAATTTTCAAAATAAATATAAATATAAATTAATTGTTTTAATTTAAATAAAGAAAAAGTGTAGGATTTCTAAAGTAAGATAATTACACAATAAATTACACTTAAATGAAGTGTCAACTGAAGTAATTTTTTCGCTTACAATTTATTCAAAATAATTATAAATTCTTGCCGGCTTTAAAAAAGTTTGAATCTCTTATAAATTAATTTAATATTTCTGATTCGATTTAGTTCCCTATAAAGTTTCGCTTTCGCACATATATTGAATTTTCCACCGCTTTCAAAAGTTCGTTTTCGTTAGTCAATAAAGTTAAGCTCCTCCCATGGACATGTTAAGTTTCACTTGCTGATGCAATTTGCTTCCTCATAAAATATATCAGCTCCGTTTCTAATCTGCGCCATATGCTACGCCTCTATGTAGAGTGCTGTAGACTGGTCCACTGGCCACCACTGGGCACTCACAAAGGAGCCATAAAAAACTATCGACACGTAACGATTTGTGCCGCTCCAGACACGCTGCTGCTGCTGCTGTTGCTCTGACTATTGCGTATTACGGCGTCTTACAGCGCAACCAAAATCCGTGCACAGCCCCAAAGACAATATTTATGACTTTATTAACTTCAAAACGCAACAGCAGCGGCAGCAGCCGGCAACAAAGTGTTAAGCCTGGCCAAGGCGATGAAGTTGTGTAAATGAAATTAATCTTCAATAGACGCAGGGCAATAAAGCGAGCGGCAGAAGGCGTTCGTCCCCTATACATGCGCATTATATATATACATATATATATTTATATATGTGTATGTGCACGTATGTGTTTCCGACTATACATTCCCCACCCCAAAATTCAACCGCGCTGCCATTAGTCATTAAACAATTTTCCACTGAAGCAGCCGCAACAACCAAACTCCAGCATCTGCAGCATCTCGGCTGCTGCGTATTTTGTCAGGTGTCATAAAAACCGAATTTATTGCGCATGCGCAGCCCGATGTTCCTTCATACGTGGTGCATTTTGTTACAGATTGTGCATAGTATTTTCTTCTTTTTATTTTTATTTTTGTATTTTTTCACTCAGTTTTATTATTTAATTTTGTTTGCAGCAGGATTATAAATCATGATGCGTGCGCGTTAAGGTGACAGCACTTTAGGGCACATAAACATACATAAGCCCGAGCAGGTTGCTGGAATTTTAATTAAATGGAGCACGAAGCTGACATTTACCTTGGATAGGTGCATAAAACTGTGAGACAAGCAGAAGAGGCTAAATAACTATATAACTGGTCCCTAATTGACTAAGGATGCGCAGTTGGTAATGGCATAATAAATACAAATTGACACAGAATTCTGAAAGAATTGCAATTGACTAAAGTTAAATGATTTATGTAAGTTTCAGATGAAAGCATAGTTTTTTGTTATATTATGCTGGGAAATTATATTCAAATATTTTTATTTGCTATTGCCTTAAGCAACCTTATGAATTTTTTATGTCTCCAAATGTAAGACTTAGCAAAAATGAATTAACAAATATATATATCAGCTTGGGCTATTTTTAATAGCTCTAGAAACGGACTTTGTCAAAATATAAAAACTTTATTTAAGACTCCTTCAAAAGTTTTTCCTTTTTTATTATCAAAAACTCATAATTTGTCATATCAATCAACAGATTCACATGACTTTTATAAATATTCATACACATCTGAAAATAATGGAAGCTCAACAGCTAATTAGCATATTTCGTTTGCTCACAAAAAGAGAACGAATCTTATGCGATTGTGCAAAGTCAATTTATATAAATGCAATTTGCACTAACTATGCCCAGAAATGCCAGACTATATAAAAAAAAGAAGTTAAACCAAAATTCACACGCTCTCGCCTGCGGGTGTTCTCTTTGGCAAACGTACAGAAAGGGCACGTAACACACGGTATATCCGTGTGAGTTTGTGTGTGTGTGTGCTGCACTTGTTCCCACAAATTCCAAGGCATAGGCAATTTCCATGAAGCAAACAACAAGCAAAAATTTCACACTCTTGCATACAAAAGCAGAGAGAAATAAAACAAAAACAGCAAAACACAAATTGAACACAAGAAAAAAATGGTAAACGAGAAATTTGTACTGTCGAAAAATGCCACTGAACTGCGAGCCGGTGAATGGAACCTGCTGGGGGGCATGAGAAACGGGCAACTCTGTGAGAGAGTGAGACAGATCACAGCCATCAGCATAATCAACAAGATCACGCATCAAACGAGACGACAGCGGCATAAGAATGCAAACATTAAGAGATTTTATGCGAGTTGTTCACATGCCAAAAACAGAACAGCAAAAAAATAAAATAAAGCAGAAGAAGCAGATAATAAAGAGGAAAAAAATGAGACCGCAGGCAAACAAACTGGCAAACAGGTACACAGGACGATTATCCT